GACATTGTCTCCCCCTAATATTCCAGTAAGGATTCCCGTACTGTTCCAAGACATCCCTGTCATTAGGGCTCCTAATCCTGTTATCGACCTCTCATAGGCTACTGCCTGACAAGATACAGCAACATGATGTTCTGAAAGGTGGTTAACTACCGGACCACCCCTTTGTTAAGGCATAGTGGACACCACTTTGTGGTGAAGCCATAAATGTTTGGGTGACGATTTCCTAGCCCTGCATCACCGGCTCTGAGTCTGTTTAAAAGTCCACCCCACCTACCTTACTATCGCATCCATGTGGCTGGAGTTTGAACCAGACTTGAGTGGTGGGCATGCAGTTGAAAGACACTAAGTGGCTTTTCTGCTTCAGAACCCCTTTTATTGCTGTTTCGGTAAGCCTCTTCTTCAGCCTTGATTGGGACCCTCAAACAGATCAAGTCCCAATTCAGCTACCAGGTCCCCAACCATTCTTGCCCATGGGTCATCACATGCTCCGATCACCGCGTCAAATGTATTGGTTATGATAGGGTTTTGCTTTTTATGCATGATCTCCCACACATATAACGCTACTCGCTCCTTTATCCTGTCCTGCATTGGTTTGAACCCTGCTTCCATGTACCCTGCTACTTTGGATGATGAGCTTGGTAGTTGTAGAATAAACCATGCTACCTGGTGTTAGATGCTATCTAGCTTTCTGGTGACACATCTCTCCCATAGAGTATGGGCTACTAGAGATCGATCTAGTCCGGATCTTGTGATTCCCATGATAGTGTTAGTGTATTTTTGAGCAATACCTATCATACGCTCCTCTCTTGGCTTAACTAGGTTCCTGCCTTTGACCTGTATATCCACTCCTAGGTATTTACCAACCAGGCTTGCTTCCAGGTCTGGCGTTCCCGGTTCTACTTTCCAAGCCTGTCCTTGCATTCCATTGAAAAGTATTATTGTTTTCTCAATGGAGAGTTTCATATGTACCCCGTGGCAGAACCGTGATTCCTCCCCTAGCATATGTTCCATCCCTCTCACCTTTGTCCTTGAGATGAGAACAAGGTCGTCTGCAAAGAACAAAGCAGAAATCACTTGACCGTTAAAATTAATTCCTTCCTTCATGGCATGTAGCTTTTCTCCAAGCCCAGCCATGTAGAGTGAAAAGAGTAGGGGTGATAGCCCGCACCCCTGTATAATGCCTTTGGTGAACCATAATGGTGCTGTCAAACCTCCTTTTATTCTCACTCTTACACTGTCATTATAGTACATAGACTGGATTAGTGACTTGACCTTTCCTCCAAACTCAATGGTGTCTAGCTTTGCATAAAGCAGTTCACGGTTCACTGAGTCATAGGCTTTAGCAATGTCGCAGAATGCTATTGACAC